TTTGTCTTCGACTGTAACTGATAAACTGTCTCTTTCGTACTGAACTAAACCACGAGGTGGCGCTGTTTACTTTCTCCTCCACCCCATGTTCCGTCTTTATTAGCTTCCTCGACCTTTTCCTTCTTCCTCTATCCGGTTATGGAGGTCTGCTAGAAAGACATTTAAACGCAGCTGCGCTCAAAAACACGAAAAACCTCAATTTAGGAAGCGAAGAAGCAACCTTATTTTAAATACATAAGTCAAGGTAAGCTGGATTTCAGACGATTTGTCTTGAACGTGTTGAGAAAACAGACAGTCTGTTGGTGGAAACGCGCGTGTTTATCTGTCAAGGCCACAGGTGACGTTAGCCTGCTGGTTAGCATGCTAAGCTAACACAACAAACGAGCCGGCGAGAAAAGTGAATTTGACGGATTTAATTGTTGCAAGGTTGAAGTTTAAAGCCAGCAGAAAACCCCACAGAGGCTTTGTGTGTGGTTGTAATTAACAAAGCGTGAAAACTGCAAATGTGAACACAAATTAGCTACTGTTAGCTTAGCTTCCGAGTTAATTCACGCCAATTAACCTACACACCCAGCAGCACACTGTGTTTTCTTAGTGAGTCTACAGAGCAGCTTAACATCCAAATGCAATCAGCTAAGATAACGTTTACAGCTTGGTTTATCAATTATCATCTATCAAGTGTTAAGAAGAGACACCCTTGTCTGAGCTGTATGCTAAATTCACAATAACTTTACACATGTATCCGTGAAGTGTTGACTGTCACTGAAAAACGGACCTTTAAAGTCAAGTCAGTATACATACAAAGAAATAGCTGGAAACATTCAAACTAATTGTATACGGCACTAAAAGGCTGCAGGAACGTCTGTCTCTTAAAGCCACAGTATTACATCTTTTCCCTGTAGTTGATTTCCTGCATGCTGGACTTGATCGCAGTGTTTCAATTCTCTATTGCTGTGTGTACCGACAAGATTGATTATGATGGGTTTTGACGAAGTTGCTTAGTCACTATTACTCCCCTCTCTTAACTTTCTTGTGCACTACATTCCCATGCTCGAATACTGAATGGTCCAAAAACAAGTGACACTGAACAATAATATAAACCCTGCATGTAAATGATCTTGTTTTCTGATGCAGAGGAAAAGTTAAAAATCTAATTTCTACTATGATTAACACAAAGGGTTCAACTTCAATCATTGTGCACAAAAGGCTTTTAAACTGTTCATTCTGGACCATTGAGTTAATCCACAGCCTGGTCAGGTGTGGATGTAAAGGACAAGGATCAGGTGGCGTGACCAGAACAGACACTTCTTTGACCAGTGACTACAAAAAGCCACCCTAAGATGCAGCTTTAATCAAATGACAAGATGTCACAGGTTACAAGACAAAGATGAAACCAGGCTGTTGGTATGCTGGATGCTGGCATGTCGGTCAGGGCTGTAGTCAGCCTCTACATTGTCCACAACTTCACCGTTTGGCATCTAACAAAAGGTTTCAGACAGCATGGTTTGCCGCATGATGCTCTGCATAAAAGTGTCTGAGAACTCGACTACTGGATGGAGATGTACATTCTTTGCATTTATTTTTGCCATAATTCTTTGACACTGCATTGAGGATTTTTTTGTTGCCCTACAAAGAGGTTTTAGTTTGCAGCAATGGGAAATCACCAAAATGCTAAGAATTTAGAATAAAAATAGCGATTCTTCGCGGGTTCACTCAGTTAGGCCTAATAGACATTTTTATTGATCAAATGGTCAGAAATAACAGGAAAATGAATAGATTTGTCAAATTAGGTAACACAGACTCATGGCCTTTAGTAAAGGTGAACGACTCAGAACCAGGAAGAACCTGGTTTTAATAACTTAAATAACATTTTTGATGCAGAACTCTGTTTTCACCTTCTCAAATGTGGAAAATTGATGTTTTTCTGTCTTATTTAATAGTAAAAATATCATTTTGAGGGTTTTGATTGGGTAACTCAATGTCATGCTCTTTTGCTTGGCTTTAAGAACAAGTGATGGATAATTCTATTCTTTTTTTCTAACATTTTTTTAGATCAAACAATTTGCAATTCATTGAGAAATTCGTAGATTAATCTCTAATATAAATAATCATCGGTTGCAGCCCCACCACAAACTCATGCATAGGATTGGATAGCATTCAGTGCTCAGTATTTGCTCCTCATGCTATCGGATTAAACTGTCCATCTGGAAACATAAACGTAACACTACACTGATCCCTTGACCTCCTTTAACCTGACTTCTGTTACCTCTCCAGATGCCAGTGGCTGTAGGTCCATATGGCCAGGCCCAGCCCAGCTGTTTTGATCGGGTCAAAATGGGCTTCATGATGGGGTTTGCAGTAGGCATGGCTGCTGGGGCCATGTTTGGAACTTTCTCCTGTCTCAGGTAACTCGAGATTCAGTATGCACCCTAACAACTGTACTTCAGTAAAAGCAGCAACTGTATATATGATGAACTTAAACAGGTGGACATTTGTTCAGTGACATTACACAACACTCGGGCAATTATCACCAATAAACGGCCTGTAAGTATTCTGAATATAAAAAATCTGATGAACGCCACTGGCAACCTTTCGTTTACTGATTAGTGATTCTCATCTTTCCTATTTTGGAGGGCGATGAGTGAGCACTTAACTGCACGGGATAGACTATGTCCATTTGAGTTTTATGAATAACGTTCTGTATCTAAAGTACATTAACATTCACAGTTTTACTTATATGATTTTGTTTAAACATAACCTTTCACTGGACGACTTGTATCTGATCAAATCTGTGAAAGTATGCCTTGGTTATATTTATTTTCACTACATTGTATATAGGACTTTTGGGCTTTTGTGTCTAAAAGCTACATCAATATTCAGTCACTTCCATGGATAATCCAAGTCTCATTTTGACTGCAAACAGAATCTGAGGCAAGGTTGAGTTTCGGTTTTACATTATGGTGAAAGTCTTTAAAAATGTGTACATTATGCTCCCAGACGTATACGGAATAAATGTACCTAACTCAATTTGTAATATTCTACACTAGTTCAGGGATTGATGTTTCATCCAGTTGATGCAGTGAAAATAAAGTAATTAGTGTTGAGGTTAAACATGTCTCCCACTCTAGTTTACATCAATTTAAAAAGCAAATCTGTCTCCAGGATCGGCATGCGCGGCCGGGAGCTCATGGGAGGAGTAGGGAAAACCATGATGCAGAGCGGAGGGACGTTCGGCACCTTCATGGCCATCGGTATGGGCATCCGCTGCTGAGGAACAGCCATCGCCACCTCCACACAACTATACGGCTATGGGACTTTTCAAATCACAACCACCGCAGATCTCTGTCCGCTCAGTGCTGTCACCACCTCAACCTGCAGAGTCATTTTGTCAATAAAAGCTCAGATTTATCAAATGGTTTTCATAGTGGGTGTGTAATGCTTTCTGAAGCTGCCAATGTCCTGCTCAAGAGTAAAATTCCATTTGAACTCTTTTTCTGCTTGGTCTAATTCTAATCTGTGGAAAATCTTTAAACAACTTCTACAAAACCTGTCTGTTATAATCTCATATGTTTTTTTTGGATGAAAAGAGCAAGTGACACTAGTGAATCACTCTGAGTGCGTTTTAAACCCAAACTAACATACCTTATGCCAGAACTACAATGTTCCACTGTGCTTTGTATGAAATATCAGGATGTCCTACTGCATCTGGTCACATTTTCTTTCTTTTAATCTTGTACACAAAAGATGCATCACAGTGTCTTGTGTGACTAGAATCAGCACAAAGACACATGATGGCTCATTTCAGACCATGAACTGAAACAAATCAATGACCAAGATAATCAAACGTAAGTGTTATGATGAAGTAGTGAGAACGATTATCACAGTCCATTGTAGTGTGGGAACTAAAACTGTATTTCTCAGGTGTTTGTGCATTGTAAGTATAAGCAGCTATTGAGTTTGTCACTGGTATTCTGAGGATCTGACAGGAAAATTAAACTTCATTCCAAATGTATGAAAACAGTAAAACCAGATGTGGGGTTTTTGCCTGGATTTTTAAATCTCCTGTTCTATTAGCTGAAGTAGCTTCTCAGTGTGACTGAGTGGTCTCCTGACAGCACATCTCTAGCTCAGACTTCTGTATGCTGTTACCTTACTGGTAATGCTGCTCAAAGCAAAGTTAGAGTAACTGCCTGATAACAGCTGGATAATAAAACTGGAGAAACTTCTAGAAAATCTGTTTCCCCCAAAGAATTTCAAGTTGTAGACTTGATCATACAGTTTTGGTGGCAGGACATGAACATCCACAGTGATTGAGTTTCTGCACACATGAATCCTGTTGATGACAAGCTGTTTGACTTTGAAGCACAAAACACAGAAGTGAGCACTGACTTCTTTAAGACTTTTAATCATGTAAATGAATGAAGTCCTTCTGTGTAAAAAAAAAAAAGCATCATTTTTTCAGAAACCCCCCAAATGTCAGTGCTACACAGATGCTTCTTTTGTTCTTTGCAGCATGACTGCTACTAGAAACTGTAAAAAAAAAAAAAAAACTGACCTTGCGGCGCTGTGACGTCTGTCCCGTCCAGAGGGTTTACGATGCCGGGGTAGTCTTTACCGAACGACAGGTGTTTTATCAGATGGGTCATGTTTATCTGGAGGACAACAGAAGGATGACAAGGTGACAGACTTCAGAAACGCTTCATATAAATGCAATAAGCAGTAAGTCTTTAGTCACAGCTTTGGGTTTTTTTTTAAATGGTGTAACTTATCTGAAAATTCAAGACCTGAACTGACATGTTCAATGCAAGACAACTTCAGACAATTGTAAGTTGTTTGTAGGAAGTATTTTACTATGTATTATAAATAATAGATAGTTGTAGACTTTAAATATTATATTCTAATGTTGTGTAGACAGCCACCAGCAATATCTACATAACATTTGAATATGAATAATGGAAAATATGTTACTTACGTTGTCTAAGCCAAAACTCTGCAGGTCGTGTACTGAAAACAAACAAAACAACGCTTTAGTGAACAAAACAGCACATACACATTTACTAAAGGAAATGAAGAGTGTGTGTTATTGATCAGGTTGTGATTCAGTCTGATTGGTTTATAGATGAAAAGTAGCGAATATAGCTGAAGCTCACATTCTTGCTCAAGTTCATATCAGAGTTAATAGTCACAACTTCTGTTCTCTTCTGTCCTATTTAATGTGGTTGTATTTATAAGCCTTGGTGAAGGATTTGCTATTCATCACTTAATTTTCACTCTGAAGGACTTTAGCATTTTTCTTTCAGATTTATAGCTGCACAGGAAAGTGTAGAAGCCTCAGTTTGATCTTTTTCTTCTCACTGAATCTGAAAAACTAGCAACACGACGTAAGAATTCAGATTTGGTTTGGAGTTAAAAATGTCTAACATGACCTTAGATCTTAGAGGGTCGGTTTATCAGCTGAATACATTTTGGATGCCATCCACAGGTCTGCTGAGCAGTGGTGTAAATCCCAAGTTTCATCACAATACTATATAGAAATCCTTTGCATCACAACAATGACAATATATGCAAATATCACAAAGTGTGTTTAGGGACTAAGATCAGTATGTAATGATATCATAAGCCCTGTTATATCAATGCACAATAAGTAACTAAACTATGATTTGGCAATTTTATTTTGTCGCCCTTCTACACATTTAAGTGAAACAGTTTTGTTTTGTGGTTTTTTTTTTAAAGAAAAATAGACCTGTAGTTCACTATAAATGCATTAAAGTGCATATGTATTTTAACCAGCTAGATATAACATGGTGACATATATCAAGGTTTTCTCCTCGAATCAACCATATTTCGTTACATCCCTACTGCTAAAGAGACCAGAGTTGCAAGGACTAACAAAATTCACTTGTAGGAAAATAGTCCAAGCTTACAGTAACAAGTGGCAGCTGCACGTTGAAAGAGTCGACTCAGGACAAAATGTCAACCAGTCAGTGATGTTCAATAGGCAGTTAGTCAGCAGCTTCATGGTGAAGCAGAAATATTTGGATGCATTTATTACTATAATGTGCAGTAACGTGTGCAGGTTTAGTAATATTTGTGACTGTGACGATATAAAACCCTAAAAGAAGCTGGACAACAAAATTAAATACAGTGTCATCATGTACTCCAATTTAGACTTCTACAACACTATCCAACTTAAGATGGACAGGTTAAGGAAAAATAAATAAATGAATGCAGCAGATGCAGAGATGAGGAGTCTCAAGGCTACAGAGATCTGGGAAGCCTACTTATTTTTCATTTTTGAACTTGTAATCGTCATTTCACGATTCAATGTAGCTCCACCAAACGTCACACAGCTCCCTCTACAGCCACAGATGCACTAAACACACTTTGATGTGTAAAATCTGAGGCATTTCCTTTTAAATGCGACATTTTTATACGTTTCATGTGTTTGTAGCTGCAACAATATGTTAAAACAAAATGCTTTTTTTTCATACTTACAAATGATTTCTTATGCATACGATCATCTATGCGCTACACGTAGTAGTTCTATATTTACAATCCTTTCTTATACATCAAAAAATTGGCTAATAAACTAGAATATGGCTGTTTTTTGGAAAAAAATAAAAAATAAAAATCTGCAAAGAAAGATGAACTTACTTTCCACAGCGTGCACTGCAGAAAGAAGAGAGAAGAGTCACTATGATGATGCAAGTATACAACAAGCCACATGATATTGATGTGGGTGAGGGTGCCAGTGGGGGCTGCACAGCTCTAACAAAACGTTCCGTACATTGTTTTATTAATGTTTTTTTGCATTTCTTATTATTAAGAAATGAATGATGATACATGAAGACTCTACACTGTGGAAATTTACCTCTGGGATGAAAAGATTTGGTCGTTTCTGGAGTATTAAAAGCTTAACTCTACGATACAATTCGATTGAACCGTCTGAGATTGTACATAAAAAGCAGAAAATCCCATCGAGGAGGATTACATTTTTATATTTTTTCGTGCCTCTTTGTGTTTTTTGTCTGTATAACTTCTGTCAGAGTACATGTACAGCCCCGACACATAACACTTCAAGGTCAGTCCAGGCTGAAGGGAGGGGAGGTTTGGGACCAGAATAAGGACGGGGCTGACGCATTTCAGCCTCTTCTAAGCTTCTCATGTGATTCTTGTCTCTTGTTTCTGCTGCTTAGCATTTCAATACTACACCGCTTCACTGCAACACTTCAGAAAAATGAATGAATTAATAAACTCACATCATAGACTCTGATATCAGTGGATGCTGTGGTGCTCATGGTAGGAAACTGAAATCAGCAGCTGCTTTCACTGTGTAACCAGCCAACCAACCAGAGTTTTCCTGCAGCACATGATTTTTAACTCAGGCTTGTTTACATTCTATTTCAGTAGCCAACCAGTGTTCGGATCAGATTAGAAGCAGCCTTGTGGCAGGTTTCTTATTTAAGTGACTGTTGGCGAGCATTTTTTGGGGCATTTGGCCTTCGGTCAGTTAATTTCCTGCTCTGGTTTAATGTACAGGTGCAGGGAAACATGTAGCAGGCTGACAACACAAAACAAAACAGACCAGGCAAGATAACGAAGTGACAGCAGAAGGAAAATTGGGAGAAGCAGTCAGTGGAGAAGATAAATGAAAGGAATAGAAACGTAGATAAATTCCAAGAAAAAGCAAACAATTTGAAGAAATGGTGCTTTTTAGGGTTAGATTAATACATAATGAGTTTGTCAATATGTCCGGTAATAGGATGCTACAGTAAAGGAACAGACTGTATCTGCCTGCTCCTCAAAAATAATGTAACCAGTTTGGATAACTGAATGAGCCCAGAATCAGTCATAAATACTGTAATTAGTTTTGGAAACCTGGTATCAGTCAAACCCTACTGCAGCGTATGAATCATGAATCATGACAGGCGTGGTGTCAATCTGTACCTCTGGCCGGACAGAAAAGTACAAGTAAGCCTTTGTCATTAACTTTTAAATCAAATACCTCTCCACTGTCAGATCTTAGATCAGATAAGCTACGGATATTTTGTCAGAATTACTTTTTCTTGCAAGTTTCATGCATGGAAAAACACATGAACATTTCTGAAAATCAAAGAAGAGGTGTGTCCACAACTCTAGATCTGCATGTTGAGGGTTGACCATGAGACTCAATCAACTTAGACATAAATGATTCGTACTGACTCGCTCTCTGTGTGCCTGAACATCTCAGTCCTGTTCAGGTCAAACCTACAGAGAGTTGAAGAGATCAGCTGACTCTAGGAGCATGCTTTGTCCTGTAACATCTTCATTTAAAATCTTCATTTTACAACAATGGATGTTTGAAACAAAAATGTTGGATTGACTAAATCACATTACATTTAGTCCACAAATGCTAAAACTGAATTCAATATGACACTGATTAATTGCTGCTGAGGAAGCACTCAAATGATTCTGTGCAGCCCTGAACAGCTGTGAGTGTGGACCTCTATGTGAAGGTTTGATGAATGAATGAATGAATGAATGAATGAATGACAAACATACACACCAGCCAAAAGTTTCTAAACACCCTTTATAATATGTTATGCGTGAGGCCTGTTCAAAAATGGAAGAAGTGAACTAAGAATGAGTTCGTGTCACAGAACAGCGATGAAGGAACTTTCTCAATCATAAGAAGATGCTGTAAATTTATTCCTCTTTTTCAATCAGTTTTTACAAGCTACTGAAATCTGTTGCGATGTGAGCCTTTAATTTAAGTCTCACTTCAACAGACTGTGTGATGGTGAAACTCAGAGTGGACACCTTTGATATACTGTGCCTGGTCTCAGATTATTGTCGTGCTGTCCCTGATAAATGCGTAGAGCGTCTTCACCTTTAAAATCAAAGTTTCCACAGAGACTGAAACCTTGATATGATTGGTAACTAGAAAAGTCTTAGATCCAAACAGGACTTTTGGAAACAGTTTGGACAACCAGCTCAGGCCTTAAGGAAGTTGAAAATACTTAAAAAAATACTGGCACATCATTAACAAAGGGTGTTAAAAACCTTTGAATGGTTAAATGTGTGTATAAGCAGAATGGACAGCAGGTCCTACCGTGAACGTGAGACTGCTGGAAACTTTTTCCGGGAGCGAAGTGGAAATTTCCTGCCACCTAAAGCACAAAGAGGAGAGAGGAGTAAATAAAAAATACAATCAGTTATTAATATAGAATATTAAAGGCATTGCCAGAAAAATGGCACACTTTGTGAATGAAGTCATGTTATCCAGGAAAAAGGTAATGACACAGTCTGAATAAAGTCACAGTATTACAAGAAAGCTGTTGTATTTCAAAAGCAAAATGTTTGTTATTTAGCATGTCTTGATGGTCAACATACACTGTAAAGGTACTATATATTTTTGAAAATGGCAGGTTTTTGGACTACTGTCATTTTTCTATGACAGGTGTACAGCTTCACAACATGCATGTACTTTACCATGGAACAGTGTGATATGATTTTCACAATATAACTACGACAACTACCTCCTACTAAAATTACTTCAAATCACAATTTTATTTCATCTCATAATATTTAAACTTTACTCTCAAAATCTCTGATTCCACTTTCTCAAAGTGGCCCTAATACCCATCCATCCATCAATCCATTATCTATACACCGCTTAATCCTCACTAGGATCGCGGGGGGCTGGAGTCTATCCCAGCAGACTCAGGGTGAAGGCAGGGGACACCCTGGACAGGTCACCAGTCTATCACAGGGCTACACTTAGAGACAGACAACCAAGCACACTCACATTCACACCTACAGACAATTTAGAATCACCAATTAACCTCAACATGTTTTTGCACTGTGTGGGAGGAAGCCGGAGAACCCAGAGAGAACCCACGCTGCACGGGGAGAACATGCAAACTCCACGCAGAAAGATTCAGGGTGTCCTCACCGGGACACAAACCGGCGACCTTCTCGCTGTGAGGCAACAGTGCTAACCACTGAGCCACCTTGCAGCCCTGATCCTAATACCACAACAATATAATATCATGTCATGCATTTGGCACGAGTTTGGAACCTGGAACACGTGCTAAAGACAAGAAAAGATGTAAAAGAGCGACAAAGTTTCATTGTGTGCCGCATTCTTATCCAATCGATCCACTTTTTATGCTGAAACTAATCTGAAACTTTAAGGACTAAAAATTCAGAATGTCATAACACAGTCAACAGTTTCAGAGACTGAAATACTGACAAAAAAAAAAAACACTTGTCATTTTGCAGTTTAAGCTGGGCTTAGTCAGTTGAGCTCCTTCTATTGGCCAAGATATTAAATATCACTGATGTCATGGGCTTTATGTATATACACACATATATAGTTCCATGTTCTTATGAAACGTTTAAACTTTTTCCAAACCTGCTGGATGTACTCCAGAAATAAACAAGGCTGCTTATTTTTGTTTTTCTGCCATCTTTCCAATATTAGTGATGCTAAATCCCAGATGAGAATCAGAATACCTTGTTAACCTCCAGGAAGCCGTAAACCTGACAGCCTTCATTCTTCTGCTCCTGCATCTTCTGTGTGAAGCCTTCCCTCTTACACTGCTCAATGGTGTCGGCACTCTTGAACGCCCAGCCTCGCCGCCGGTACGCTTCTCGCACGTCATCACAAGTGTTACAACATCTGCACAAGCACACACAAAGCAGGTGCAAGGCAAGTAAATACAGAGGTATGGAGATCGCATAAAGACAGAAAAAGCAGAGCCTGTGTATGTTGGTGTCTCACTTCAGGTCTTCAGTTTCAGCTCCATAGCAGCTCTCACATCTGTTTGGGTCCAGTGTGCTGGGGTCAAACGCCTCACCATCGTCAGCCTTACCAAGTTCTGAGAAAACACACACAAAATCATCAAGATTAAGAACCTTCCGTTAAAAGAAATGTTTAATCTTTTTCACAAAGTCTCTTTGGTTTTTTTCCTGAGAAAAGCAATTGCACTTTAGAGGGATTGTTTATTTGTGCTGGAACGTGATCCAAACCACAGCTGACCAAACTACACAACGCATTCTGCAGGTTTCAGGTCCCACAACCACAGTCTGCTATCCATACTAAAAGAGCTGCTGGCAGCTAAAGTCGATCTGACCGGGCCCAGTAAGAACATTCATAAAATATCTTGACATGTGGGGTCAGAGGATGCCTGCGCTTACTTTCTCTCTCCCTACCTGGGCACATCTGACCAATGAGCCGAGTGAACATTCTCACGTTTTTTTTTCAGTTGTGTATTTTCTTTGCTGTGAGAAAATATATCAAAGTGAGAAAATGGAATAAGACTATAAACTCATCAGGCTATTAATTTAAAAATGCCCCCCAAAAAATTCCTGATGCAGAGGCTAATCTAACCTAGGCCTGCATGGACCTGCATGAACCTCTAACACCATGCATCAGCGTTATGCGTAAACGCTCTGCATGAAATCAAACCCACGTTCCAATAGAACACCTTGTAGTGTGTCACCTTTAGCATTCTGCTAGCTCCATGGATTACATCACCAGCATTGAGTAAGAGGAACAATTTGCTACTCAGGGGTCCCTACAGCTGCAACCACACCAGCACAACCTTTTGTGTGCTTTGTTTTAAAGCAGTGCCATTCACGATTTGAATGGTTTCCAAAAGCTGCCAAACACTGTCAGGGGGTTAAAGGTCAGCGTGAAGTCAAAGTTTACCGTGTTTTTCTGCCTCGAAGGTGACAGCCTTGAGGTCTTTATCCAGTCGCTGTTTGAACAGATTGTGTTCAACATCCAACTGCTGCTCACCAGCCACGTCCATCGCATCTATACTGAGATCTGCGAGGAGAAAAACCGAGTTTGTCATCGTTGGCATGTTGGCCTCACCAGAATAAAGATTGTAGCCAAAGCAGAGCAGGAGGAGCACTTACAGGCACAGGGCATGTGAGGGAAAATAACATCAATGTTGATTTTAAGTTTGTCTCCTCGCGACGTGTCGACGTACAGCTCAGGGTGGACCTGCAGGACATGGGCCGATTGTATTTAGTGATTTACTCAAAACACAATTGTATTTGACACTAAGCCATGAAACACATGAGAGAACAAGGTGCCTCTTGTTTAGTGACATTTTTATGCATTAAGCAAGAGATAAGTGTACTCTTTGAATACTTAATCAGTTTGTTGGCTTAAATCTCAAAAACAAAAGATATTAAACAAAGGATGTGGGCTAACTTCATGTTAGTTGTAAAAATGTGTGCTTGATTTACTTTATTTGGGCAAACAAAACATTAAAAAATGTTTTTAAAAAAGAACAAAAAAAAAGCATGACTGTTACAGCCACAAGGTCCGTTATGTGCTGATTATAAAACTTCGACACCTTTTGAGTTAAATAGAAAATGAAATTATGTCACTAGATGAGTCTTATTTCTTTCTGACCTGTTATAATGATCAATAAACATTAGTAACACAACAATGTTAACTATTGTTGTTTACACTGCTGTGTAAGCAGACCTTCCGCATACTGAATACAGTTTCACCGTTTGTGTGATCTGACTCATCAGTCCAGTCAGACAGGAAACACACCTGAAGACTAAAAGTGATCCATTTGACACCTTATCATCACTACTATGCAATAATTTAGAACAATTTACAAATCTGTGCCTTCAATTGCCAAAAAATAAGAATATATTCATCTTGATCTTGAAAGGGGGATGTAAGGTTGCAACTAACAATTATATTCATTATCACTTATTCAAGCAATAGTTTGAAGATTAAATGTTTAGCCAGTGATTAGTTCATTACAACATTCTGGGGAGTTGTTCTTAAACTGCTTATTTTATCCCACAGCACCTATTTGAACAACTGGAATAAATAAATATTTGCTTGAAAGAATGACTACTGTGCAGCTCGAGATGGAAAATTGGTGTGAAAATTTGTTGGTGAGGCTCATGTGAAATGCTCTATCACATTGTAAACCTATTACACACCAAATACTTGATAAAAATTAGATTTATAATCTGCCAGAAAAATCACAATTAGATATTTCCGTAGAGGATTCCACCAACCAGATGAGGGTTTAGGATAATCAGATAATGTGGAGGAACTCACCTCTTTAGTGAGATAGTACTGCAGCTCAGAGACAAACAGGATTAACATGATCACACCACTGATGATAGTCACTGCAGAGACAAAGAAGAAGTGCATATTAAAAATCAGTGTAGCGCTTTGAAATGCCGGTTCCTACTTTCCCCAGGCTAATCTGCAAGTTTCATATGTGAACAGTCAAGTCAGTCCTTCATCATCCATCCATCCATTGTCTATACACCGCTTAATCCTCACTAGGGTCACGGGGGGGCTGGAGCCTATCCCAGCTCGTCCTTCATCATCTACATTTTAAATAAATAAATAAACATATATAGCTGTTTTTTATTCAAACAAATACTACACAGTGAAAAAAGGGCAGTACAAAACAAAATGGATCTTGCAGGGGTTTTTTTTTAACCAGTTTCAACAGTAAGTGGTAAGAAAATCATCAAAACACCAAGCCAGAGTAATAAACAATCATTTTCAGCCATGACATTAAAAAAAAGAGGTCATAAAACCCCGTGGCGAGTTGTCTAACATGCACAGAATAACCTGCGTTGCCAAATACCTTAAAAAACGTGAAGGATTGCTGCTGTTTTAGAGTCAAAGGGTGTGTGCTGCTCACCAAATACTGATTTGCTTAATGCTTGGTCTGTCTGCTGTATGCAGTTAATTACAAACAACAAGAACAAAACCTAATTATGGTGTTATTTTTGAAAGCATGCGTTCCTGCCTATAACTTCAGCACAGCATTGTACATGCTACAGTTCATACATCATGGCTGCCAGACTTTCTTTGCACCAAAGCATATATCAAATAGAGCTTTTTTTTTTAAATGCCACCTCTCCAATATCTTATTTTGTTTCTCTATTTAGTTCATTATAGTCAAGTTCCACATCCATTTTCTTACGTCTTAGCCTGTCTCTGTTACAGTAATTTCCCCATGATTTAAATAAACCTCCAGTCCCCTCAACCACAGCAGCAAGGTTTGTAAAACACACAGCAGGAATGCAAAGTGTCCGCTATTTATTAGCAACCAACATGCAAAATCCCTGACATGATCCTTTACAAGAAATATGTGGTGGGAGCACTTCAAAGTTTAGTGATATCACAGATTTTATTACAAATAAATCTCCAGTTTATGTGCATATTTGCTTATTTATCACTGGGCTTGCTGAAAATGCTGCTCTACTGCTGAATAGTTAATGTTACAGATGTCTAATCTGCTGGTGTGTAGGTTTTGCCAGCGTTGTAACATGACATTTTGAATGCATCTATTCATTTACAGGAGGAATGAAGCTGTTAGCCCTGTTGTTAGCCGCAGCAGCTAACACCCTGTGTGTCTGAATGGCTGCTGCACTCTGATAAACTGAAGCCTCTTACCGGTCGCTCCTCCCCATGTCTTCACTCGAAAATCCTCCAGAGTTTTGGGATAAGCGTCAAACTGTTTCAGTTTATTCAGCGTGTCCATTTTCTGAGCCACAAAGCCACCGGAGCCACAAATGTTACCGACAGATTCCTGTACTCCAGACACACATCGGTCCTCCGCTTTTTACTTCCGGGACACACACGGTGCGCGGCTGGACCAATCAGAGCCGGCCGCGTCATTTATTCTCTCATCGTCTTTCGGATGACAAGAACTCAAATACAGCAATGATTAAAGGTCTGAAGTTCACCCAGCAAGCAACAAAAACACTGCTCAAGGTAGATTATTGTTATTATTATCAGTAGTAGTAGTAGTAGTAGTAGTAGTAGTAGTAGTGGTGGTGGTGGTAGTAGTAGTAGTAGTAGTAGTAGTAGTAGTAGTAGTAGTGAAAATAATAATAATGACATAATAATTTTTTGAGCATTTTTCAAATTCATGTTGCAAAGTGCTACACAAGGCAGCAAAAAAATAGAAGTCATCAGATTTTGTCCCATATTGTGTCCTTTTTGGCAAAGTAATGAAAGTCGTACATGTCCCTAAAACATGTCATTAATTTTTTTAGCATTAAATATCAAAGAGAGTGCATTTTTACCGCACTGTGATCTCATGTATATTTAACATGTGAGACCAGGACTTTCTATCACTTGTACTTTTGTTTCTGAATGACCATTTTACATCTAAACAGCACAGCCGTTGTCTTTATTCCATGTGTTTGGTTAGTTTGACACACAACATAACATTAACAGTTTAGGGGTGCAGAGTGGCAGCTTGGAAATGCGTACAAAGTGACTGCTAGTTAACATGTTAACCCATGTTAATGGGCTGCATTACAGTCACTGTGTCATATTCGTTCTGCAAATGCATCAGAAAAAAACTGCAACTGACACTGACTGAGTTAAAGTTGCACTGAAGTACAACAGGTAGCATGAAAACACATTAACCTAGTCAGTGTTTGTTGGTTTCAAATTGCTCCTAAAATTTCAATTATCATCTGAATGTTCCACAGCTTTACAATTTCCACAGAGCTCTGACCTGTGGGCATACATTACACATCACGCACACAAAGTAACAGTAAGGATGTTTAGATTGTTGTGGAATACCTATCCTCACTGGGCTCGCGAGGACGCTGGAGTCTATCCCAGCCGATTCAGGGCAAAGGCAGGGGACACCCTGGACAGGCACCAGCCTATCACAGGGCTACACAGAGAGACCAAGCACACTCACATTAGTTCACTGGAGAACCTGGAGAGAACCCACGCTGCACGGGGAGAACATGCAAACTCCACGCAGAAAGATCCCGGGTGTCCTCACACGAACCGGTGATCTTCTAGCTGCGAGGCGACGGTGCTAACCACTGATCCAGCCCTTGTTGTGGAATATATCCATCAAAAATAACAGGGTCTTCAGTTCCTGCTGAGAGTACATGAAGACTTTTGTGTTCACTCTTGCAGCCAACAGCAGAGTATTTGGTGCGCTTTAAGACATTTTGGAGTTAGCAGAAGCAACTCTACAAGTAAATTAAAGTGTTGAACTGTGAGGCTGCTTCTCTCTCATTCCATATGGCTTACCCTGAAACACTGAGCAGTGAAGGGACAGGATTATACAAATTTGAAATGAGTTTAGAATTTACATCATAGATGGACCAAAATGCTGACTGGTTGTAAAGCTGGGCTCCAGCTGAGGGGGTGCTAGAGGAACAGCAGCTGCAAGCATCTTCTTGTTTTCACAGCTTTTATTCTATACTTCTAAAGTTTTAGGAGATACAAAACACAATAGAAAATAATTTGCACTATATGGAGACTTAAAAGACTGATATATACACAATTTGTTGTCTAAAAAACAAAACAAGGTAAAAAAAAATAAAATAAAATAAAAATTTAAAAACAAATAAAAGGCAGTGGAGTGGGAAAAATGAAAACATTTGAATTGTACTGTTAATCCATCCATCCATTATCTATACACCGCTTAATCCTCACCAGGGTCATGGGGGGCTGGAGTCTATCCCAGCTGACTCAGGGTGAAGGCAGGACACCCTAGACAGGTCACCAGTCTATCACAGGGCTACCTGTTACTCCCTATACTTTTTTATTTTATTTTATTTTTTTTATTTTTAGCACTATTACATTTTGTTTTTATCTGATGAAGCCATGTATTCATATTTCATTGACATTTGGTTGTAAGTGTGTCTGCATTTGTTGCATGTGCCTCAGCAACATTTGATCCATTCTCCAAGGTTTTAAACAAAATGACTGAATGAAATTAGTTATTTTTCCATTCAGAATGCATAAGGCTGTTTATTCCAGAATATATTTAATTGTTCCTGTTGTGTATTTGCAAATACAAGATGAACATAAAATTAAGAAGAACACAACACATGAATGTAACTGAATTATTCAAAACTGTTCATCTCTGATGACATACATAAAGTGAAGACATCCTGTTAAGTTACAAGAAGGAAGAAACAAATGATGTATGGACAGGAAACAGTCAGTCCAGGACAAGTTCAGAAACAGAATGAGTGGTAAAAATAATAAGTCCTTCATCAGCATTACTCCTCCTCTTCCTCCACCTCAAGCTGGAGACAAGAGGCAAGTTCCAGGTCACTTCGCTCATCCTGCTTGACCTTCAGCTGACCTATGACCTCGTGTCCGACCCTGAGGTCAGCCACCGCTGTCTGGACTAGACGTAGCCGGGCTTCTCTCAGAGAACGCCTCAGTTTGGCTCGCCGGTTCTGAAACCAGATCTGAAAGAGAGTGATGGAACTATGAAGTAGATGAAGACATTTTCCCTTCTTTATTCTTAAATTTTAAACAATCTTAATATAATTTCTTTTTTCTTTGATTGTACATGTAGCACATAGAAAATCTTTTCCTTCACACTGTCAGATTTATGTATTTTTTTGATTTTTTAGTTTTCATACTAAGCCAATGCTGACTTTTGAACAGTATGAGGCTTGAAGTCAGTGGACTGTCCTATTAGGGGCACTAACATTAGAGGACCTGGGCATGAATAAAGAGGTACAACAGACAGGAAACAACAAGCAAATCGTTTTTAATATTCTGTCTGAACCTGTATTCGGTCCTCGTCCAGATCGAGTCTTCCTGCCAGCTGCTCCCTCAGCTGGATGCCTGGATAACAGTTCACCTGAAACACTGTCTCCAGTACATTCACCTGCACAAACACACAGCGAGAGAGCGATGATCAACCCACAGACAAACCTGTATTTGCTCTCAGCGATGTAATTTTATGTTCGATGTCTTCAACTTTCTAGAGAATCCTTTTGCAGTTTGATTGACTGCTGGATTACCTGGCTGCTGGTGAAGGCAGTGCGGGGTCTGCGTCCGATGTACCAGTTTGATGTGGGCCTGGAGGAGTTCAGCGGCTGAGGATGATGCAGTTGCTGTTGTTGATAACAGTGTTGTTGTTCAGAGCAGAGAGTCGTTCCTCTGTTCTCCTTCTCTGCTACCATCTCTGGATTGATGGGGAAAAAATCACACACTAAACAACCTTTTTAATTAAAATGAAATAAATCATTCATTTGCACAACAATAAACTGAACGGAGAGCTTTTTCTTGACTTTGGATAAATGATTAGGTTTTACTGTACACACAGATGTACTCAGCATATGTGAGGATTTGACATCATATTAATTCAGAATTTTATTCCAAAATATAAAAAATTGAAAATAGTCTAACCCAGCTGACTCAGGGTGAAGGCAGGGGACACCCTGGACAGGTCACCAGTCTGTCACAGGGCTACACTTAGAGACAGACAACCAAGCACACTCACATTCACACCTACGGACAATTTAGAATCACCAACTAACCTCAGCATGATTTTGGACTGTGTGGGACAGAATCCAGAGAGAACCCACGCTGCACAGGGAGAACATGCAAACTCCACACAGAAAGATTCCGGCACCCGTGAACCGGCAACCTTCTTGCTGTGAGGCAACAGTGCTAACCAACTGCGCCACCTTGCAGCCCTGTGTAGTTAAATGTAATTTACGGTACGGCCAACGGTATTCTGATCAATCAATAGAGAAACCAGTGAACCTAAATGAGTAAGTTTGAAAAGGTACTTTTCATCTATTTGTCATGAACAGCTGCAAATTAAATATAGTCATTCAACACAACAGCAGAAATGTATGAACATCACTGCATAAAGAAAACTAAATACACAACTGTTTTTTTTTTTTGTTGGTGTGGTATTTTTTAAGCAGCCATTGATTTATTTACAGGCAGACTGATGACAATGACTCCTGTTTGCACATGGCTACTGGCAAAAACCAACTATTTAATTTTAAAATCTATAGGCAATGGAAAACATCCACTAACTAAAACTAAATATAACAGCTAGGCAGTAATATAATTACATATGTGAGTCAAAACAATTAAAATTCAGATTTTACCCAAATATATATATATATTTTTGCCTCTTTGTATACATTTAGTCAAGTAGATTGTATCAGACACTTCTGCACAGGCTGTTGTGCTGCTCTGTGTCTTTTACATCTAAGTGAATGCATGAATGTTTGCATTATTGATCTTGTTGTACCTAAAACATGGTTTATCATTTTAGTCTCCCATCAGCTATAGCAAGACAACATTAAGTTAAATGGCACATAATGTGATAGATGCAAGACACCATGCAGTGTTGCACTGCTAGTGCTTCATCAGTAAGATGAAGATAAGCCATCAGTGTTAAGAAAACAATTAAAAAATCCAAACTTTTGCTCCTCACCTGTCCAGGGTCTGTGGAGTTTCAAGCAGTTTCCAGGTCTTTCCGGTTCCAAACCGAGAATCCGTTCGATGGAGAACGTCGGCCTGCCTTCTCCTGTGACAGGAGCCAGAGTGGATGCCATAATGACTGAACTAATAAAACAACCCTGAGAGCAGAACGGCCCCAAAGTGCAAGCAGAAGTACAGTCAACCAAAATGAAAGTTATTTTGATTTCCCTTTCAAGAAAAAAGAAAAAATGTGTTCCACAAGTTTGTCTTCTGTCAATGAAAGTCTCATTAACGCTATTGGTCCTTTGCTCCGGATCTGTGGTCTAAAACAAACTGAAAGGGTGAATGGATGTGTTAGTCTGAGGCAAAACAGCAGGACGACAAACTGCTGACTGCCGGTTTAAATGGAAGAGGAGGATTTACACTGGCCACCAATTAGAAGTAAGAAGTGTTTTTTCCATGTGAATGAGGTTCCCTGAGGTTCCATACAGGAGCTAATCTCTGCTGACTGTGTGTGCTACCGAAAGACAGCATATTTAAATTTTGAGTTCCACAATCCAATATCACAACACGTTTGCAAGAAACAAAAAAACACATTTATGTACACGTGTGTTTGAATCAGAGTATTCCCCCTGACAGTTTACTGTGTGAGTGTATGTGTAAGATTAGGACGATTCCTTTTTTTAAACAAACTGTCACCATGACACAAATACAAAGCAAAATCACCCTCTTTTCTTCTGAATTACCAAAGTAGAAAATCAGTTTAGTTTCCACACTAAAATACACCCATCCTTCTGTTACAAGTCAGTGAGAGAATTTAAACTAATAATAATAATAATGATAATGATGGCAATAATAATGATCCAGTGAGATCCACTAATGCTATTAGCCTAATCTGTATGTGTTGTGATGCAGATGAAGCTCGTAGTGTCTGAATGCAGGTTGAACCAGCGGGGAGGAAAAACCTTTTCAGAGCCAGATTAGCTCCTAATGAAGGCCTGCAGCAGCTTTAAACCAACAGCACACTTGTTTATTTATCCCTGACTTAAAGGTGGGATGGATGCAAGGATGTAATGACTACATGCAGAGGAAAGGCCAGCCTCACTGTGGCTGGTAGAAAAGAGCTGTAGGAACATTTTAAGGACATGAAGAGTGTAAGCACGGGTTCAAAGTTCCAATTTCATACCTTTAAAGTTCAATAATTTACATGCTGTGGGTGTTTTTTTGGAATGTGAGCAGTTTTAGAAATATAAAAGCAGCAATTTATGGTGTTCGTGGTGTTTAAGTAGTGAAACTATTTCATGAAAAAGAGTCCCTGGTGCTGGTTCACTGGTTATTAGATATAGTCAGCTACCAGACTTGGACATAGACAGAAGCTTCCTGAAAAGCCAGAAAGGGAGTAAATATGAACTTACTGCCTGTGTGTGGTCTTGGTAGTGGAGAGAGCACAGCTGAGCTTCAGCAGCATCGGACACTTGCCAGATCTCTGTGTAAGCACTGGTTTGTGTGGTGCACCCAGTTTCATTTGGGCAAAACTAACCACACACACTGAGAAAGCTGCAGCAGTCAATGGAATGTTAATTTAATTTTTAAAGCAAAAATGTCAAACATTTGATTTGTAGCTTATGAACTTGGATAAACAATCTAATGCTTGCCTGCTTGCCTATGTCACACATGACAGTAAATGTGATGTGTTTGGATTGTTGGTCAGGTCCACAAGCAGTCGAACAATGCTGGCATGGTGTTGTATCACTGCACAGCAACATCCAGTGCCTATCAAAAGGGTTCACACCCGTTGGAAGGTCAGCTTGACAGGCAGATTTGACATCACGGGTGTCCAATCCTGGTCCTCGAGGGCCACAGTCCTGCATGTTTTAGATGTTTCCCTCTTCCATCACACCTGATTCAAATGATCAGCTCATCATCAAGCTCTGCAGAAGCCTGATAATGATCCTGATCATGTGAATCAGGTGTGTTGGAAGAGGGAAGCATCTAAAACATGCAGGACTGGACACCCCTGTTCTACATCTTTATAATCTTACTGGTTGACTTTGGTGTGAATGTTGTGGGTAAGAAGGATGAAGGCTGGATTTCCTTTCTTCTACATAGTTTTGTACAATGCAGACAATAAACAGACCAAATGACGGGTGACATTTTAATATAGGGGTCAACAAATTAACCTAACCTCACAACAAAGTTTGTTCATTCACCAGTTTATTAAATATTTACATGACAGTGTGTAGATGCAGATTCCACAAGCCAGCAACAACCAGAATGACACAGGCAGCATTAAAATGGTTCATGAGTGCGTCACGTTTGCTGCTGCAGAAGACAAAACAAAGTGCCACGCAGAAAAGTTTCCTTTAAGATAATTTATTTTGTACAGTAAAACAGAGGCTTAGCAGTTGTTTTGCAGGGAGAAGAGTGGAGGATGGATTCCCATACGCCCAGGAAACTTTACTGAGCAAGTATTTCTAAGCGCTTACGTGGTTATCGAGTATCTTACAAAGATGGACAGTCAAACAACTGATAGGTCAATTGTGACAGAGTCTGAGACGAGATGTCAAGACATGAACTGCTACCAGTCGTGACTCGCTGCAGATCAAATAAAATTTGTGAAGGGTGTGTTCAAGAACGCCACAAATCTCTGACACAAGCTTGCACCACAATATTCCAGATACAGGAAAATCCGTCACACAACTGGACCTATCATGCCACCAACTAAAAAAAAAAAAAAGGCATTTTCTGTCGGAATAAACACAATATATGTACTCTTAGTTGTCTACCCTTTTTCTCGAAAGGCATGTGTGTGTTTGTCCATTATTATGGGTCTAAGATCTTCTTGAGGTGAGCATTGTGGGGTCATTGAACGCAGCCATCTCAGTTTTAGGCCCAGCTTGGGGTGTCTGCTTCTGTTTACTTGGGAGGCCTGTAGGCGATCTTCCTGCTCTTCAGCACAGTCCACCTGTGTCTCTTCATGTAGTAGATCAGAGGCAGGAGGATGGCTGCACCAATCAGCACCTTCAAGAGAATGGAAAAGAAAAATTAATATCAAGACAGCGTCAACATAAATGTCAAACAAAAGGGTAATTATAGGCATGTCAGAAAGCCTCATTGGTAAGAAACACATCATGTAACCAGCGTGTTCCTTGTTTCGTGTATGGAATGGAAGTCTCTGTTGTATGCATGTATGTCCATGTCTTGTGTGGGGGTATAATGTGCTCATTTACTACAACATTTGAAAATTTCTGATTTTAAAAGGAGAAGGAAAAAAAAAAATCCTAAAAGTAATGTTGTGTTTCAGCACCCACACTTAGGCATTGTAGTGGCACAAGTAAAACAATTTACAATTTCGAGAACATTCGACTCCACAGGCTGGAGAACGTGCGTTGCGTACCTTCAGTCCCATGCGTTTGCGTGTGTCATGCTCCGGCTCGGCAGCCCACCTCAGGAAAGTGCACACATCCTTAGCAACCTGACTCATGGTGGCAGGGGTTCCTATGGCAACAAACAAAACCCATCAGCGCCATAGGTGTTACAACAGGAAACCTAAAGGCTTTCTCCTAGGTATAGCATGTGTGGAAGATATGCTTAAATATTACATCACTTAACACAAAAACAACAAGTCAAACATATGAAGAGTCCAGTCGCAAAAACAGATAATTCCATTTTTGTAAATTTTCAGAAAACTTTTTTTTTTTTGCTTGAGATAATATCAATGAAACTGAAGTTGAGTGGATTTGTCTCAGAAGAAATGACAAAAATAGAGATAACTTAAGTTTGACTGATATTGTCTCAGGTAGATGATGGAAAAGTAGGTTTTCTGAAGGTTTGTGAAGATGGAGTTATCTGTTTTTGCAAATGAACTGTTTCTTATCATATAACCCATAATAAAAGGAAACCTGCTGCTTGTTAATGCTTCCAAAGGTTGCCTGGCCAATGTCGTCATTTGTACCACGTCAAATGCTTCAAACAGTGAACCACAGTGATTGAAATGGACATAATCTTTGCCGTGTGATACAACAAATTTGCTCTTTCTCCCTTAAAATTACCATTTCAAACTAAATGTGAACAAAACCTTGGAAAACACCTGCTGTGGTATTACTTTAACTCGTTTAATGCTTTGCCGTATTTTAGTTTCCTGAAATTTCAGCCGATTCTATGTCGGCTAAGTATTCCGAAAGTAATCTGGGACTTAAATGTTCAATGGACACATTCTGCTACAGCCTTTTTTTAATCCATTTCTGCAGCCCGACATCCCATCGCACACACCCATACATACAGTTTACTTACCGTCCTCATACTCCAAAATCTCGTTGTAGAGGGGCGGGGCCATGCCGATAGCCTGACCAGGGAAGTAGGGGTTGTAGTAGAGACCTTCCCTCAGTGACACTCCTGCAGGTGGCTCACAGTAACCAGTCAGCAGGCTGAACACGTAGTCCTCGCCACCATGTCTGAGAGGGACAAGGATACACATGAACACCACCAGACACAAAAACTGCAGGGGATTTCATGGCTTTCAGATGAACACTATGAACCCCAAGCAGTATCACAGTGGTTTTCTTTTACTTGTTAGCGTATCTTTCTGTGCATTATGTAAAGTAGAAAAGTTTTAAGGAAAGCTTAGACAGTGTCTTGCTACAACAACTAGTGTAATTTTTGCATTTAAAAAAAAAACAAACAAACAAATGAAATAAACATGCCTTTCAAACCTACTGGCAGCTTTAGGGTTAAGATGATTAAACTTTACAGTATTTTCTGTTTTTCAGGGGTTACCTGGCAAGGATGATGTAGCTGAGGTCTGGAGGCAGGGCTCCATTGTTGGCATAGCGAGCAGCCTCAGGGTTGGCGTAGGGCTTAGGGAAGTAATCCGACAGCTTTCCTGGCCGGGTAAACATCTCGCCAGTGTCGTCAGGTCCATCCACGACCTCAAACTGAACACAGCACACAAGACAAAGCTGAAGTCAAAAACCTAGAAATGCAACAGGCGGGCGTCTCCATCACCTGGTGAAACTTGATGTTAACTTTTAAAATTAAAAAAGAATCATACTGGTTATTTAGAATGCGTATGCTGTAATACACTAAGACAGAGATATGCGATCAATTTGAAACTGTTCCAGCACACAGCCTCACCTCCTCAGCAATGGCCTTAGCCTCATCCTCTGTGTGCGACACTCCCACCAGGTTTCTGAAAGCCAGGTACTGCATACTGTGGCAGGCTGAACACACCTGCTTATACACCTGGTAGCCACGACGAACACTGTAGGGGTAGAGAGAGAAGGAAAACATGAAGAGACATTTACAGTGAGAAATGTGGTCCTCTGCTGCAAAGTGTACGACTGAAGGTGCCACAAAAGACTGCAAATAAAAGTTAAAAGAGTGTAAAGAATGTAAATTGTGACGAGAGCTGAAATAATTTGTGGATTAAGTGATTTGTTGACTAAAAGAAAATATGCTTTAATATTGGATCAACCTTTCAGTCTTTTTTCCAGCAAAAATGCCTAACTCCTGCCTGCGTCTTCGTGTTAGGATATTTCCTGCTTTCCTTTGTCTTAACAGTGAGCAAATTACATTTGGCGGGGGGAGGGGGGCTGTCAGATAAAAATCAACAGTAACATCCTAATTGTGACAAAAAAAAAAACATGAAAAATGGCAATAAAACATCTACAAAAACAATGACGAACTTAAAGATGCCATGTGGTGTTTTTTGCAATCACAGAGATGTTGAAATTGAGCCACAAGTGGTCAAAATCTTAAAAAGGTGCCTTTAAATTGATGCAGATGAGATGCAATTTATTTTTTGTTAACTTTGGGATATTTTTTTTAACTTTTTTTTTTAAAATTACCTTTGTGCAGCTTGTTTGTCAAACTAATAAATGTCCTACATTTAAAAGGATACACTGATAATGAAAGAGTTGACAGCCGTGTATAAAAACTAATTTCAATTAAGATTTAAACCTCAAAAAATTTAAGGTATCAAAAACATACATATATTTATAAAGTCTCTTTACTGACAGTGGATCCAAGATGCCTTTTTGCTGTCAGATCTGGACCTTGCAGGACTTTTAGTAAAAGTTTTACACTTCTCTGACAATGACTATGTTTGATATTTCCTCAGCATTTCCATCCAACACACCTAGCATGGTCGAGAGCGGACAGAGGTCCACCATGGCTCCACGGGTAGTTAGGAGGGTGGAGCTCCAACTCAGAGGCTTTGACGGACTGGTGCAGCATCATAGCGAGCCCAGCCCCGCCAGCTGTGACCACACCTAGTGTTGTCAGGGCAACTTTTTTGCTCCGCGGTAGGCTGGCGAAGGACAAGTTGGCCTGTGAACAAACACGAGCACAACAACATACCAGTTAGTTACTTAAAAAAACAACAAAAACAACAAAAAAAACAACGACATCCCAGTGTCAGTAGATCAGTCTACTTAATATTCTATGTGATAAAAGCAATGCTAGATTAAATTAGTCATTCACGTAATCTTTTGAACAAGACTACGCTTTGGTCACTAATTCTACCCAGCTACATGTAAAAGTTTGTTGTTTTCATGAACTTAAATTTAAGCTCTCACAACAACAACAAAACATCTGCTTGGACTTTCTGAAATCCTCTTTGTCAAATTAATACTTGAAAAAAAATCTGCAGCACAAATCTTGTACACTTAAAAATATACAAGCATTCATTCGACTTTAAAATCTGTGTTGATCTGTATAACACTTCTCAACTTGCCACGTAAAAATTGGATGTATTGTTTTATGTTTATTGTTACATCTACACAGTGTCACATTTGGGGAATCTAAGGTGACAAATGCAGCCTTCTTGTTTGGTGTAGAACCCAAATGTTGTGTGATATCTATCACACAAGACTATCAGTGACCCCTCACGTCTTTAGGGCTGGAACTTTTAAGGCATCTTATTCTTGAAAAAGATATTACCAGATTATCAGAATAGCTGCAGATTTGCTTTATGTATATAAGCTTGTTAACTTGACATTACTAATCATAAAGAGTGGAGGACATGTCCAGCACAGTACGACATGATTCTCAAGTGCAGGAGCAATGACACGTCTATGTCAACAACAATTTCCCTGAGGTTTCCACCAAAGGGATCAATAAAGTTCTATTCTGTTCGTCTGACAAACTGAGGGTTTACCTAGGGACACAGCTTTACAGCGTGGACATAATTGGCAAACGTTCATGACATGGAAATGCCCTTGCTTGAAATGTGCAATCGGACCATCCTTATGACACTGTCCTTCAGTAGTGTTTTGGTAACCAGGCACCACATGACAGCATCCCTGCACCAGACTACACAAGCATAATCCACACCAACCTCCACCTCCAGCCTGAAACAATACTACACTCAGCTTACTAACTTGTTCACATTCAGTTTGGGACTTGAATTAAAACAAGCAAAGTAGATCACTGTAGATACACTTGGGCGATATGAACAGTCCAAATCTGTCTCAAACACGACTGATTAGCTTAAAGATTAAATGTGCAGCAGCAAACGCCTTAAAACAGCCTTTCTTCGACGGAAGTCCTTTCAGTCCTTGAAATGCTAACACGTTAGCAAGCTGGTTAGCATTACTTTAGCAGTTGCGGTTTCTGACAGAAAAAGGACGTAGCGTGACCTAACCGTGCATTTTTGAATAAATATGAACACCAGACTTTACGTTTTAATTACACAGACTGCTTCCCTCTGTCGTGACTTGGGCTAGAAACTGAATTTAAACCAGGCTGTACGTTTGCCGGGTGACTGACACATCATGGGTTAGCTCACCGGCTAGCTTCCCACAAACAGTGACGGGTACCAACTGTGGCTTTGATATTAGCAGACATTGACGCTGGGTCGATTCATACGGTTTAAGAAGGAGGAAATATTGGAGGAGTTGAAGCTACAGCTGCTGGTGACATCCTAGAATATGTTAGAACACGAGTGACCTTGTCTCACCCATTGCCAGCAGCCAAGCTAACGTTAGCTCGCCGCTAGGACACCTCAAAGCGGCGCCTTTCTGTTAAACCGTTGTAATAAACACGGCCTGTCCTTGGTCATAAACGCTGCACTCTTCTGTCGGCCTACCTTGGGGGTCTTGAGAAGTTTAGGAGTGCTGAGGAGAGCTCTCCCACTCCCCGCTAGCACCACGACTCGTAGCGCCGCCATCTTCTCTGCGGTTCTCTGAGCTGGAAGCAGCGTCAAGCTACACTTCAACACACACTCGGCTTTTCCAGTCCGGACCTTCAGCATAAAAACCGGCTGCGTGAAGCGCGTTGGATCTTATTTACGAAGAGACACCGAACCTGTCAAAATAAAACCAGTGAGACGAAGTCACATCACAGTAAGTATCCACACTGATCAGCCACAGTACTAAAACCACCTGCCTAATACTGGGGAGGTCCCCCTTGTGCTTGTGCAGATGGGATCAAGGATGAGACTGAGCTTTTGGTCGTGTTACTCGGGATGTTCTTGAGCAATTTTTGCAGTCTATGTAGGAATATTGCAGATACTGAACGTACAAGAAGCCTATACTCAAAAACAACAAGTAGATTTCTTGTAATCTGTTATTATTTGCATGTGGCCGAGTAAATTAAAGATTTGTTCATTTACAACCAAGTGCAGCACCTCATACCTTTGAACTTATGGGTCGTACAGAGTTGGATAAAGTCTGACTCACCAGATGTAGACTGTGGGTATCAGGCCAGACTGTTTACTTCTCCTGTGGCGATGTGATCATGAGGTGCAGCCAGATCATTCTGCACAGAGCGCTGTGTCAGCACTACAGAATGGTCTGCTTAACCTGGCATTAACTATGGTTGATAAAGTGCAATTTTATAAAAGAGGGTAAAATAGTTGTGTTGGACTCTGATTGATTTTTATTTTTGTTGTTGATAATTTGAGATGTATTCATTGCACGAGCTTACTCATCATATTGTGTGATGCCATCTGGACTGGGCTCCTGCTTCTCTGCACTGTTTATGGTTTATTGTGCTATTGTAGCATCCTTTATAATTTGTGCAGGCATTAATGTACTTCCTTTCATAGTTTATAATTACAAAAAGAATTACACCTTTAGCTAATCTAGTTAAGTGCAATAATAAATAACTTGCATTTATAGCATATGTTATTTTTACACGTCATTAACTAATTAGATGCGTCGTCCTCTCTGTTCTCTCTGCAGGTGTCACTGGCCTCATCAGTCTGCCTGGTGTGTGGGTTGTTTTGTCTTTTAAGTCTCACTTCTTATCTTCTCTCTCCAGTCCACGCTCACCTCAAAGGTCACCTGCTAAACGGATGTTCTTCCTCTCAACTGTCGTCATGTGCTTTTCCAAAGGGAACCTTTGTGAGTCGCTCCATGATGTTGTCAGGTGTTGATCTTAATATTTAAATTTGTTTAGTAAATGTTAAATGTTAATCTCATATCTCAAGTGGAAAGCACTTTTGCTTAGCATCTTCGTTTATAAGATGTCATATCGTTTATAATCCATCCATCCATTATCTATACACCGCTTAACCCTCACCAGGGTCACAGGGGGGCTGGAGTCTATCCCAGCCGACTTAGGGCAAAGGCAGGGGACACCCTGGACAGGTCACCAGTCTATCACAGGGCTGCACTTAGAGACAGAAAACCAAGCACATTCACACCTACGGACAATTAACCTCAACATGTTTTTGGACTGTGTGGGAGGAAGCCGGAGAACCTGGAGAGAACCCACGCTGCACGGGGAGAACATGCAAACTCCACACAGAAAGATCCCGGGTGTCCTCACCAGGACGTGAACCGGCGACCTTCTTGCTGTGAGGCCACCTTGCAGCCCTCTGTTTATAATGTGCTGCATAAATTAGGATAAGATGACTTCACTAACGTTAGGATTGGATGGCTGGGTGTTTATTTAGTATTATGCTGTCATCACATTATATTGTGACAAACAAGTTTAAAATCTTATTTTTATTTTTTTTGTTCTTCTTCTTATTTTTTTTAAAAAATTATATTTACTTTATACAGTATAGTCTTTGTTACCGTTTGGACTTTGTTTCTCTGAGTCAAGCTTGCTGCTCTTATTTTGAAGGCACCTTCCACAGACACACCGGCTAGACGTCCGGGCTCATTCTGGAGAACTTTTCGAAAATCTTACACAACTTATTTATACAACCGTTGTTTAGTAACACATTATTAAACAAATATCACAATTTTGACAGTGTCACAGATATTTCCTTAGACATCTGTTTGTTTTCCTCCCAGTTTGCTTCTAATAACCCTGATTTGACGGTGATTTTTCTCTGTGAGTCTCCATCCAGCGGCTGCTTCGTGACGCTACATAACATTTGACCTGGATTATAAAATTGATGTCAGACCGCAGCTCAACAGGAACACGTTAGCTCACAACATTTACTGTATACAGTCTAGAGATTTAAAAAAAAAAAAAAAAAAAAACCTTTACAAACCTCTTATGGGTTTTTTTTTCTACATGTTTAAGACCATTTATATTATCTGTCCCTTTGACCCTACGAAGCTTTTGAAGGCAAAAACTTTATTGAACTGTTGACCAGATGACACTACCAACACATGCATTACAATAAAACAGTTTATATATATTTAAAATACTAATCAATTGTAATACAGTCCTACTGCATTTAGTGGGGTTTTTTCTGCTTCTTTTTTTCCCACCAAGTATCACACAACTGTTTGTCTTAAACTGGGGTCACTGAAGCCTCATACATTCCTTTATACACACTGGAGACATCTAAAGAGGGGGTATTTTAATGGACAGAGCAGGAGGAAGGATTACAGCCAGAAACATCTGTTTTAATGTGCCACCTGACTATTGTATTGTATTGTATCCCTCTTTGAGTTTCTCTGTTAACGTCTTGACCTACTATGTGAAGTACCCTGTAATGAGATGACTTGTGTTTTGAATGGACGCTGTATAAATGTAATAAAATCACAAACACACATGGGGAAAACACAGGTTTAGAGGTTGTACCTGTGCGCTCCAGAAGGTGGAAGCACAGGTCTAAAAAAATGAAACATCCCGACAACCCAAACCTGCTGCAATGTTTCACCTAATTCAATTCATTAACTAAAGGTTACAGCAGAGATAGTTAGTTTTCTCTGTTGTTGTTCATGTTTATGTGCTTAGTTTTTTGTTTTTTTCCAACCAGCATATTGCAAATAACACTCACCGTCTGTAGAAAACAAGGATGTAGTGACTGCAGTGTCACCTTGGACACACCAACATTATCGTGTGTTCCTTCAGCGCAGCCAAAGTTAAGCCAAGCACCTAACACAATCAGAAAAATGAAAGCGTAAACTGGAACCAAAACTCTTTTTTAAAACCAAAAATCACTCTTATATTGGCATCAGTGCAAAGAACAATCAGTGCAAACAGTTCCTTTAAAGAATCCCCAAATGTGCCTCAAAGAACAATCTAATGGTCCTATTGGCAAAAAATAAGTTCTATAACGAGCCACTTTCAAGATTGTGCATCTAGAGCCTCTTTTAAATAAGTATTTTCAAATAGTAAATGGATACTTGTGCATTTTAAATCAAGTTCTTATGTGTGGGTTAAAAACTAAGCACATGAACACAGCTGTTGGCCATTTCTTAACATTAATTTTCATTTTATTCAATTTCTCTCGAGTGAGGTTTTAAAAATGGCAGTTTCAGAGAAGCATGAAGTAACTAAATTAGTCTTAATCTAGCCATCTCAAAACAACTTAAACCAAGAATCACTTGATGCATTTGATAGCTATTAGACACATTCATTTTAAGAACTTTTCCAAAGTAACTGTAAGTGTAAGAACTAGCAGAGCATTTAACATATGATGAGATACCAGCTTGGGATTTGGTAAACTGAGATGGGAATTCTTCACAGGTTTCTAATATTTTATATACCAAGTGATGAATTCATTAATTGATAAAATAATCAGAGGATTAATCGATATTAGAAATACTCATTAGCTGCAGCTCTGATATAATGCCACCAAATAGCACCAATTAAAATGAATAACCTTTACAGAAACGTAAAATACATCAAGAACCATCCCCTAAATAAAGACACTTTGAGGAACCAGAGAGTTTTCTGAAAAATCATTTGAGATCCGTTTATTATCTAAGAGCAGGAACAAACTTGAAATGTACCATCAATTCTGAGGTGTTGCAATGCAGCAATGAATGCAAAAAATAAACATTGGTCTTGTGTGTATTAATTTGGGTATTAACCACCTGAGTCCTGTATTTAAATATGTAAATGATCTGGAAAAAAGTATCTTAAAATAAAACCCTAAATTCTTCAGACAAATGTAGAAGTAAGTCAACACAAAGACGAGAGATAAAGTCTTAAGAAGGGAAGAGCAAACATCCAGCTTGAAATATTAAGATATATAGAAACTCCCAACTTGTTTAAATGAGGTGAAGTTACTTGTGTGTGTGTGTGACAGCAGATGGATGTTCGCTGTTTAACAGCAGGTAGGTAATAAACTATTCATCAGCTGCAGCAGTCACTGTCATCGCCTGTCATGTTTGCTTGACAGGAGGTCTTCTCAGTGTGCAGCTTAAATTAGACTGAAAATTCAAATCCAGTCCATCCAACCGTTCGTCTCTGACAGAAACACACGACTAAACTGTGCATATTGCATGAACCCAGACATGGTGGAGTTACTTTATTTCCTTTTTTCAGTGCAAAAAACCTTAGTATGGCCGTTCAAAGTGAAACACTGCAGAAAAGAATGGTTCTGTTCTGAGATTTTGCCTCCATAACATGCCTTCTTTCAAACTATTGCAAAGAAAACATCCACAATACACATTTAGGGCTTTAGTTATACTCGTAGATTAATCACAGCAACTGGACTTGCTTGAGTTCCTTGAAGACGTTTCACCTCTCATCCAAGAGGCTTCATCAGTTCTGACTGAGTAGGTGGGAGTTCCAGATTCTTACATCCCTAAGGAGCCATTAACACCCGAGTTTCTGTTTCAGTTGGGGGTTTGCTGCTCCTCCCCCTCATTTAGTTCACTTTATCGATTAGTGTCTGCACGTTTCAATCACAATACAGATCTCTAAAAGCTGTTTTCTAAAAAGGATATTTTTCTCATATTCTGAGCCAGAAATCTCCACTTTAATAGTTCATATCACTGTACATAACTGTTACTCTTCACTGTAGAGAGAAAAGGCAGCTGACTGTTAAGAGGCTAAATCAACTCTGATGTTGTGGGCAGTTGTGGTTATGTATTCTGTGCAGCTGGAGTCGTCTAACACTGAGCTTT